CGCACGTAAGAAGTTATACTTCTTTGACGTAACAGAACAAAAATAGCTAAAGATTTCATTCCGTATGTCACAACTCTGTTTGTAAAAGGAATGCAGCTAACTTCATCATGTAGCTTTTTGGCTGTCGGTGTGCGCGCGCATCGTAAAAATTTTACTCTCATAATTTTTTCCAAACTTACAAAAAAGAAGTATAACTTCAAAAAAATCAACTTAATATTTGCAAAAAGGAGAGCTACAAATGGAAACTAAATTTTCATTCTACTTTGACAATCGTAATAAACAATCATATTTTTTTTTTAATATTGTTGTATTTAAGTAAACTTTTGACAAGTGACTCGGAATAGTTTTTATATATTACGCTGGAAATAAGGTTTCCTGGTGGCCTTTTATAGTAAAAGGTATTGAGTCACGTAATTAAATGAAATGTGACGGGCGTATTACCTTGGATTGTTCTAGAGCTTACGCCTTTACATAAACTTGTTGTGTTTTGATTAAATGCACTTTGCTTTGTCATTGATATTTCATCATCTAAAGAGATAAAATATTATATAGACTAAATAATACTTAATTTTTTTTCTACCTACTTTCGCTGCACTAAATCTAGAATGACACTCTGTAGACTCAAATATTTTTATTTCTAACATTTGGCACACATAAAGCCACAGGCCAAAGCTAATCATTATATTAGTACACTGTTATTTAAAAAATCAAATATAAATAATGATAATATACCAATATGAAAATCTCTATCCATCCTGCAAATTAAACAGAGAGTAGCTACGAGTATAGTCTAAACAAATAAATAAAATTGATGTGTCTGCTTGTGATGTTAAAATAACAGCTTTTTATTTAATACATATGAAATTATATACTTACGGTTATTATAAGAAAAACACATTTTGTACAATTTTTATCTGTCTGTCTGTTTGTTCCGGCTAATCTCCGAAACGGCTGGACTGATTCTGAAGAAATTTTCTTTGGCAGATAGCTGATGTTATAAGGAGTAACTTAGGCTACTTTTTTTTAGAAAAAGAATTTGAAAGTTTATCATCGATTATCATCGAGTCGCCGGTCTTTGTGATTTTGTGTCAGAAAATTGCGATCAAACATAAATCCTCCTTATTGGAAGTTGGTTGATAAGAACGTTGTAAGTATAAGCCATATGTTATGTTATATACAACAGGATTTACGTATGAATCACCACAGTGGTTTCCATAATAATCGACGGAAAGGTAATTTGACTCTACAATCGTTAAGTGAGTTAAATGAAATTCGAACCTTACATTTTCACCCAACTACAAAGAGGTCGAGTGCCTGAGGGTGTATATGTTTTTTCGTAATTTTGTTTTTATAAATGGTTATAATAAAAATTACAAAAATATATTTTTATAGAGTAGCCCTATATTTTTACCAAATTTGAAATGTAGAAATGAAATATTTATTAATATTTAGAACTTTTAAAACGTATTTCTATACTAAACAGCATTCGTATAAACTGACACCAGTGCTTCTCAAACTATAAGAACACAAAAACACGTTATATTTTATATTGTATACAGAAGCTTATTTAATATTTAAAATAAAACAAGTAAAGCCATAAAACTACACTTGTTAAACAATTATAACATGATTTATCGCGACCTAAATCTGATACAGCGTTCATTATATGATTCTAAACGTCATTTGGAAGCGTTCGATTACACATTTCCTTCACTTTGTTGCAATACAGTTTATTTACAGTGTTAATGGAAAGCTGGAGTATCTATTTATTATCTAAATAATATATATAAATTTTATCCCGTATGTCACAACTGTCTGTTTGTAAAAAGAATGCAGCTAACTTCATCATGTCGCTTTTTGGCTGTCGGTGTTTCTTGGTTGCCGCATCGTAAAAATTTAACTCACATATTTTTTTCCAAACATGCCAAAAGAAGTATGTATAACTTAAATAAGCTATCTATTAATATTGATATCTGCAAAGAACAACATTCTGATTCCATTTTTTTTATTGAAAACACAAATTAAGATATTTTTAATTTCACGTGAAAATTAAAGATTTAGTACTCTTGAGTTTCTCTTAATGAAATGCACTTCATAAAATCACTAACTGCTTTGTTAGTACAACGTGAAAGTAAATGGTCGTGTGAAAGTATTTAGCTCTCAATTGCAATGAGTAAGTGCTAATAAAATATAGTAAAAGTTTTATTATATTCATTTTCTTCTTGTAATTACATTTAAAAAATATAAAATTAACAATTAGACGACACGTTTGGCTCAGTTTATAGTGACCCTACTGCTGTGCCAGCGGTCGCGGGTTCGAGTCCCGCTGGGGCATTCATTTGTGTGATGAGCACGAATGTTACTCCAGTCATGGGTGTTTATATTTATAATATGTATGTATTTAAAGTTATATATGTGTAGTGTATCAACTATTTGGTATCCATAACACAAGCCTCGAAGCTTACCTATTTAGATAATACTAACTTGAAAGTTGGTTTTAATTGGCTTGGCTCTTCAATGCAATTAAATAAATACGTGTTTTAACATTTTTCGAAGTTCATCCCATAAAGGGGTAAAATAGGGGAAACAAGTTTGTGTGAAACCTACCTTTTTACAGTTTTTTTTTGTAGTTTTAGCGCGAGCAAAGCTGCGGGTTCTGCTAGTGTTGATATTATTTTAGTTTTAACAAATGCTTGTATTACGCAAATTATTGCTTGTAAATGCATTATTTTTGCGTGTGATTAAGAAAAAAATATACTTCTTATTCGTATATACATAAATAATGTAAGATCCATTTATCTCTATATACTATATTGTATACATACATATATTTTAAATGTTAATATATATATATATATATATATAAACAAGAAAATATATAGCGAGCGGGCCATCTTAGATCGTGGTCACTTTAAAAGTGATTATTACACTCCAAATTAATTGTAATTAAGTAACTTTTCGGGAAATTTATTTAGAAATCACCCGTAAACTACCTTTTTATAAAATACATTAATTTAAATTCAGCCCACAAACGTACTTAAGAAATTTAAAAATATATATATACATAGGTATATAATAAATAATGTTCTATATGCAATTTCAACACTGATAATAAAATAGTAGTGTGGTAATTTATACTAATTATAACCGACTTCCAAAAAGGAGGAGGTTCTCAATTCCTCGGAATCTTTATTTTATGTAGTATTCACCGATTACTCGAAGACGCCTGAACCGATTTTGTTTTTTTTTGTTTCAAAAGGTATACTTCCCAGGTGGTCCCATATAAATTTTATCGAAATCGGTTGAGCGGTTTTTAAAAAAATCAACAATAAATATTTTTTTAAATAAATTGCTTATTCGAATATGTTATTAAAAAACTATCTTCTTAAAAATGGAAAAATAAAAACTTAAAAAAAAACAACTTTCAGGCACTAAAATGTAAAAAATAACTAAACGGGGGTTTTTATTTAGGATAGATACCTAATCAGATATTTTCGAAGTCGGTGCCAGCCGACAATATTTTAAGATATGAATATCAAATAGGTAAATGTGATTTGGTATGAACTCTAATTATAGTTAAAATATTATACATCAATTTGTGATGTATTTCATGTATCGAAATATATTAGATTTGATTTGCATCCGTTGACACCGGCTTCTAAAATATCAGATTAGGTATCTATTCTAAATAAAAATCCCCGTTTAGTTATTTTTTACATTTTAGTGCCTGGAAGTCGGTTTTTTTAAGTTTTTTAAAGCATGCGGTTTTTAAGTCTTCAATGCTAAATTACTTTCGTTACTAATACAGGTAATTAAAATAAATTATAAGGCCTCCAAATATTTCATCAAAAATAGCGTTATATATATCAAGGTCGAATAACTTGTTTAATTTATATATAACAAGGATTCTATATATTAATATCATGTGATAAACTAGTTCTTGATTATGTATGTTTAAGCGATACTTTAAATTACATAACCATTTGCTTCATGCAAGCATCGAATCTGCTATCTTTTTTTTTATTACTTTATCATAAGCTTCACGATATAAATTATCATAATTTGAAAGTAAGTATAAATAGAAGTCAGAGTACAAATAAGTTACTTTAAAAGCTAAAAAGAACTTTTATAGACAAAAAGAAATTTTGTTGAAGCCGTACACTCGTTTAAGTCTATTTAAAAAAGATATACATATATTTAATTTTAAATAAATCTTTTCGGATTTTTTCGCAGTTTTTGTTTGATTTTTCCCAACATCTCAACTTAATTGCTGTAAAGCATTCGAAACGTCGGGAACCAAAAATCAAAATAAATCCGCGAAAAAAATCCGAATAGATAGTTTTATTTAAAATGTCACATATTCGCGTAAATCTAAGAAAGTATTATATATATTCCAGTTAAATACATTTTTAAATTAATAAATAAATAAAACCTACACGGAAAGCATGTATAGAAAAAAAAAACATTTGAAAGGTTAAAAGGCGTGTTTGATGTTATAAATAATGAGCATCCTTATTACAAAATCAGTTTGATTACTTAAGAATTAAGTAAATTAGTATACATTACGGTCGATTTAATTTAAACACGTTGGTCACGCAACGTCTATGTGTAATGCTTTGTTACTTTGGTGCCGTGGGATTGTATGTATAATAGCTATAACCAGTTCGATTACTGATAAAATTTTGTGCTAAAAATATTATTTTATATCAAAAATAATTGATATCAGATAATGAAACCGAAACAATTTGGTTTGCGCATGCGCATAATTTAACTTGTATAGATTGTTGTAAACTTTTAAATTTTATTGACTGTAAAAAGAGAGAAGAGTTAGAGAAAGAGATGTATAAAAAATGACTAAATTATAATATTAATCAAAATTATTATCCATTCCATCTTTAAATATACTACTGTTATTTCTTAAATTATTTTTGTAATTCCCAATCTTTCATTACATTATTATATATACATATGATAGCTATATGAAATTTTATGAAACCAACCTCTCAAAACATCAGCAGGGATCAACCGGCTGAAAGTTTTGGATTCTTCCTTTTTCTCTTCCGCCGCGAGCGCTAAGGCGAGGACAGCAAAAACAATAAGGTACTTCATCTTTACACAATTAAGTTGAAAGATAAAAAAACCGAGCGCGTCCCCGTGCACTGCGTGTAGTGTCCCGTGATCGACTGAATCCAAAATTCAATTTTCCCGCGGTTTTATTCGGTCTGATAGGCGGGGGAGTGAGCGGCAAGATGGCGGTGGTTACACAAGATGGCGCGCGCGGGTTTTCGTGTTTTTATATTGAATTAAAAATAAAATATATTGTTTTTTTTATGAATGGTAGGTATATTAAATTTTGTTATTTTTCTTTTTATTATTTATCCAAAAAATTTAGGAATTAAAATAATAACACTTTTTCAAAGAAATAAAAAAAAATGTCTTATTTTTTCAAGCGAATCGACGTAACTGAAGTTAATGTTATATGGAAGTATATTTTTAATATTTTAATAAAATATTAAAGTAATAATAATTAAAACTAAATTATTATTGGTACCTACAGAAAAATACAACAAAAAAACTATTTGCTTTATTTATGCGTTATGCTTGATATCAATATTTAATTTTATTGGCTCATTTTGTAATATATAGTTCAAATTTATTATTATATATATTATAGTATTAAATATTATAAATGTGAAAGTATGTATGGATGTTTGTTACTCTTTCATGCCAGAACGGCTAAACAGATCTGGATGAAATTTAGCACATACATAGATTAGTCTGAAATAACACATAGGCTACTTTCTATCCCGGAAAAATATACGGTCCCCGAAGGATAGATTTGTTTTTGTTATATAATATATTTATTTATTTCAAATACAAAGTGCGGTTGTATACTTTACATAACCAAAAAGTTTTAATGTAAAATTTTAAATTATTATTCAAAAGATTCAATGAATTACAAAAAGGACTACATACACAATATAGGAAATTCCCACAATTTTGTTGACTTATGAATTGCGATATAAGAAATATTTGTTATATATCTGCTAACAAGCGAAAACAACAAAGAATTTTTGCAATTTGTAAGCTTAACTGCTAATTATTTCTCAATTCCAATTATAATAAAATTGTACATTTTTGTTTGTAAATATGTCCAGCTGTTTCAGCGAAAAGAAGTGACAAACAACATACACATAAAAACCTTTATTTCGAATTTATAATATTAGTACAATATTATCATAAAACCTTTGTTTCCTTGCTTATTTCGGTTCTTATTACATATACTTTTTCTTAGCGTTAAATGTAGCGGTAAATGCATTTTGGTATATATACACCTGCATTCATCCAAGTGGTTACGTGAGACTCACTGGCAAAACCAGTACTACCCACTAAAACCCAACGGAACTCCCACCGTCTCGCAGGATCGCTTATGCACTGAACCACGACGCCCCGACGGCGGGTCTGCCGACGCAGACAACAACCATGGTTGGTTAGTTGGTCCAACAGTCCTCTGCTATGCCTCCCATTGCGTTTCTTGACTTGGCATCCGGCTGGGCAATCCAGCTGGATTGCCAATATCTAATATATAATAAAACTATACAGGTCGAATGTCTCTACATAGAAAAAAAATGCTAAAACCGAGTCAGGGGGATGTAAGAAGAGAAATAGAACAAATCCAGTTTATTTTTTCAATTTTTTTTTGTTTCTCTGTCTGTTTGTACGGGCTTATCTCCGAAACTGTTGAACCGATTTAAATGAAATTTTGCATGGTGGTACCTTATATATTGGGTCAACATTTTAGATACTTTTCATCCCGGAAAATTAAAGAGTTCCTGTGGGATAGATTTGTTTTTATAAGTATTTGTAAATAATTTAAACCCATGAAATTGTGAACAAAATCGTACCTAGGAACGCACCCGCGCAAAGCGATAGTGAGTCGCTAATAAGTAATATAACTAATAACTAATCTATGAATCCAGCAAGTTCTATTTAAACATTACAAGTCCGGGTAGTATTACGTAACAGACTAAGCTAAAAAAATATTTATAAAATTCGAACCATGTTTAGACATGAAAATCTAACATACATACATACATCGACAGACACATTTTCACAATAATAATATTACTCTAGGATACAAAGAAGAGAGAGAATGTTACAACGCAAAATGCCTCGTTTACCACTTACTTTTTTGTAAATGTATCTGAGTGAGGATATAGGCGTATGTAAGCTCATTTCCTACATTTTTTTAATAAAAAAATGACTCTATAGGGTTATAAATTTAAAAAATATCTACCCTTCAAACACATTTACTGGTGGTTCAACAAATTTACCGGTGGTAGGACTCTGTCAAGCCTAAGGAGTCCAACTGGATGGGTACCACCCCCTTATCTATTTCTCCCGCCAAGCAACAATGATTACATTGTTGTGTTCCGGCTTGAAGGATAAGATAGCCAGCGCAATTATAGGCAAGGCATATCATCTCAGTCCTCACAGTGACAACGCACCTGCGGTTCTGCATTTTTGTAACATAAAACCTAAGTGCATGAACCGTAGGAGTTATGGGCGAAAGGTACTGCTTTCCATCAGGTGGGCTGTCTGCTCGTTTGTCACTGAGTACCATAAAAGAAAAAACAAAAAAAAACACTATAGCATACTGACCACCCTTTGTAAAACTATGTCTACAGCCAATATATTGTAAAAATCTCAAATAAAAATCGAACCTACGATCCAGTCTATGTTTTTAGGTTTATTTTATAATATCCCGAGCAAAATTGTAAATTGCAAATGTGTTTCATTTTCATTTCTAAGATAATTAACCGTCATAAGATCGACTTATGTAGGTTTAAATCCCGACCGATATAGAGAGTTCTCGTGCGATGTTTTTTTAATTTTTGTCATAATAGAAATAGGTTATTAATTAGTGTTGTAAAACAACTAGTGTAAGGAAAATTATATGTATCTTTTGTAGCAGATAGGCTATCAAAAACTTAAGAGCTATATTAATTCGAAGCTATGGTAGCTTTTTGGTAATGTGATTATTTGGATAACCAAGTGAGATGGGTTCAAACCCACGTCTTACACACCTTTTAATATTACATTTTGGCCCGCAAAATTAAAATATAACAATGTTTTTTTTCTTTTTTTTTTTTATTTTTCTTTTTTTTTCTTTTCTTTTTCTTATCTTTTTTTATGCACTTATTATAAATGCAAAATTAAACAAGTAATACTTTTATTTTTATAGTTTTTACATATTTCTTTGTCATATATAACTTTTGCTAGCGATGTGATATTTTAAGAAAACATGCATGTTCAAGAGAATTTAAGTATTTTCTTGGAATATATCTCAAGTCAATTGGTTAGGTCCACATTTAACTAGCCTGATGGTCCATATATGTATGGACAAGCTGATCCTCCTCAAGCCCACGCCCAGCAGTGGGATTTTAAAAATGACTGAATCATTACAGGACTCAAAGAGTGATCTATGATTACAAAATATATCAATAAGTATATCGCCCAAAAAACTAAGGACACCAGCCTAAAGTTAAGGTCTAAGTGAAGCGAGAGAGCGTCACTAGTTTATGGAACAATAACATATTTTTTTTGAAACAATTATTTACCTTCAGGGTTCTATTACAACACTTTAACCATATTGTGTGCATGTGAACGCTTAAGTCACAGTCTTTGCTTAATGCTTTGTTTGCTTTTAAAACTTTTTGTTTATTGTTATATGCAAAATATTATCTTGCCCAGTGGTATATGAATCAGGAATGTATTATCAGTCATAAGTTCGAGTTCCGTGTTTGAATATTAACATAAATCTTGTAGATTTTTAACTAGCTTTTAACGCGGCTATGCTGGCATTGTTCATTAATTATGTAGCATATAATACACTAGCAGAACCCCCACCTAAGCCCACGTTTAATCTACAAAAAACTTATGTTATAGATATATGTTTATTTTATATTGTTCATTAAAATAAAAACAAAAATCGCGATAAAAAATAAGGGGTATAGCTAGAAACGTGACAAATACTTTACGAGCTATTCTCATAACTATAAAATATACAAAAAAGTCATTAAAATCGGTCGAGCCGTTTCGGAGGAGTGCGACACGAGATTTTTATATATGTATTAGATTATACGTAATATGTATATATGTATCTACCTTGCATAAGTATTACTATAATATAAACCTGGAAAGGAATTACATTGAATGACTATAATGAACTCTTTACCAAATTTTATGGCTTCTCTATACTTAACAGATTAACTGTTCGCAAAATCGATACAATAGTTAAACAATCGAAATGTTCATAAATGACTCATGGGACAGGGAAACGGTTATTTAAAAAAAACTATTTTTTCGGATATTTTCGCGGATTTATTTGGATTTTTGGGAGAGTCTCTCCCATGAACATGATTGCTGTAAAGCATTCCAAACGTCGGAAACCAAAAATCCAAATAAATCCGCGAAAAAATCCGAAAAGTTAGTTTTATTTAAAATGTCAAATATTCGCGTAAATCTAAGAAAGTATTAAGGGAAACAGTGAATTTATTTAAAAAGGATCAATATAAGTAGATATGTGTAAATCGAAACCGCGATAAAAAAAAGCAATTTGAAGAAGACATGGAAAAAAGGAAGAATGGCTTATTCAGTGTTACAATTAACGTACAAACATTAAAAATTATCCGAGCTTAGTAGAAAGTTTCAAAAGCTTAATGAGTAAGTTCACAGACAATCTATAGTACCTATATTGTACATCAATAACAAAACTCTCTAAAACACACTTTCTCTTACAATTCTGAACCTACAAAACCTAAACAAATGTCTGCGATACCTAAAAGGTGTGAAAGTTTTACTTTTACGGACTAATAATTCTACTTTTTTATATAAATCTATAAAGTTGTTTTACTCTAAGAAATAAATAAATATAAATATGTTCCCAACACACAGCACCATCTAGTTCCATGGTAAGCTACGAGGCTTGCGTTATGGATACCAGATAGTTGATACACTACACATATATAACTTTAAATACATACATATTATAAACATAAACACCCACGACTGGAGTACAAACATTCCTGCTCGTCACACAAATGAAT